AATCTCTTGCCCTGCTTCTTGGCAGTTGTGTTGGCAAATATATTACTACTTACTGGCAATAAATAAAAACTCCATTCCCCAAAAGAGTTGATTTTAACCTGAATTAGCCTCTCATTTCCTTTTGGTGGATGGCTGTGTAAACGGTTGTGTCAGTAGAAAATGGGATGGGCGTTGGATTAGGAATGAGCTGCAAGAGATGAAAATGGGAAAGGAGGATAGCTCTTGGAGTCTACTTTATACTAGCGTAATTGTAACCCACATTGAGCAGGTAGAAATATTTCAGTTAAAAATCACAGCCTTAAATAAACAAAGCTCCCTAGAGAGCTTTGAAGTGCTGACCAGCCTTTCCTAATACATTAATGTAAACACTTAAAATATCAGTTTAGATCTGAACAAAAGATACCTCTTTAGTTAGTTAACTAGTGCATGCTTGTTGTTGAAATTTGCATTCCTTTATGCCTCATCTTGGACGACTGTAAAAAATGGCTACATGATCAGGCATAACTGGAAGGTCTAATTTAAGTTAATGCCTTTACTACAGTATGAGCAGAGTAAATTAGGGTGGTTGATTATGCTTTTTTATTTTATTGCTGATGGTTAAATTCACAGCGTAGCAGTTACTGTTAGCAATCAAGCTATGGTATGCTATGCCTGGTGAAGTGAAGCGTATCTCAGAGAAAGTACTTCTGGAGCTAAAAGCCACAGTATCTTTCAAAGATACTGTTCTTCTAGCCCTCTCCAAGACTCCATATAATTCCAGGAAGCAAACCAACAAAGATCAGACAAAGGGTTTATTTTGGCATGAAAAGAGTGGAACATGGCCATTGGGCCAGCTGCCCTGGGTGGCTTCCAGGCTGGTGTGAACCGTGTGGGCGTCTGGCTCATCTGCCCTGGGATTCATGAGTGGGGAGTGCAGGCGACGGGCATGGTCCTAACCTGCTGGCTGGAACCTGCCTGCAGTGCGTAATCGGTTCATTAACCGAAAGCTTTCCTAGAGCTCGACAGTGCAAAAAACAAAGCTGTTGTGCAGAAGTTCCTGTACTGTTCTTGACGGTTTGGTGGTTTTTAAATTACAGTGTTTAAAAATACTTCCTCTAGATAGCTGGTTAGCGCTACCAGTAAGAGCAAAAAAAGAAGTATTTTTGCTTAACGCAAGGACTCTGTAATTTGTTTCTGAATTACTTTAATTTCTGGATATACCTCTGCCCTTGGAGAGGCACTTCACAGTGATTTAATTGTACTAGAAAAACTGGCTGATTAAAGCTTTCATATTACTTGTCTAGCTCTGTTGTAGTAATCACTGGGTTACATTGCATGGAAAGTGCTATACAAGCACACAAACACCACAGGTCCCTCTGCAAGAGGTGAAGAGGGTCCCGCTAGGAAGGTTTGCTATGCTTGGAGGTGGGGGGGGAACATTGGCTGTGGTTACCCAGGTGAAACAGTTTATTTTTGTTTAAATGAAGCTTGGGTTTGCTACCTAGTATATGTATGTGAGAAGCAGTAATTACAAGGATTTCAGTTCTTGGGCCAGAATGGCTGTCTCAGAGATTCAGACACTGTATCTACTGACAAAATGCTTTGAAAACCACGGTAGACACCTGAGCCTGCTGTGGGGTAGGGCAGAGTATCAAATTCTCGCTAGTACAGGATCTGACTTGATGGAGAACGTCGGCTACCAGAAAATAAAAAGTCACTAGGGTGTGGGGGAGAATGCCTTTCCCCAGGAGGTGTTCTTCTGTTTTTATTGTGGGGTGGAAGAATAGGAGAAACACATAAAACTGACAGATGGCTGAAGGAAAAATGCAGAACCTGAAAAATGAAAAACTTCTGCGCTGTGGAAAAAAGTTCCATTTTCGTATTTCAGATGTGTACTGCAAGTATACCACTCCAATGGCAAGGCATAAGCTATTAGAGAGGTACTTGAGAGCCCTCGTGCAGAAGGAGCTCAGCATTTTTAGCTTCTTTGCAAATGAAACTAAAAAAAGGGTAAAATTAATGTCTGTAATCCTGAAGCTTTGATGGATCTCAGTAACACTGTTGACCAAAAAGCACATTTATATTTCATTAGAATAAAGCTCTCATGATAAAGGTGACCTAAGAGGGGGAAATGAACTTGTGCACTTCTCTGTGGCTTATAAAAATGCATTAAAATTGTTCTTGCTTAACCTTAGAAATAAATAGATTAAAAGCTGTCTTCCTTGGTTTGGTAAAAGGTCTTGGGGAAGCAAGTAACTGGAGCAGACGAGAACTTTCTTTTTAGTTGTAGGCACTTGGCATTAGAATTGTGGTGTTTATTTATACCTTGCTGGCTTCTGATGGCTTCCACAAATGTGCTGAAACATAAGAGAAATGCAGCCTCTTGTCTGAAGGTTTACAAGGGTTGGCATTTATCTCAGTTGCTTGTCATGGCTCATGACATGTTTCTTATGTGTTAGAGATGGTAGCTAAAACAAGGATAAAAAGCAGCAAATAGCCTAAGGCTGGAGGCTTTAGCCGGTGGCGTAGCTACACAGGTACATCTGAACTGATCAAAATCTGTCAGGTAGATGCTCTGAACTGGTGTTAATCCCATCCACAAACAAGGCGCCTTGCGTTTCTGTGCGTGAACCTAGCAGCACCCCGTGGCATCACCCAGCAAATTCCTTTAACTTCATGTCTAAAGGAATTCCTGTAACTTTATTAATGCAAAGGGCCATTAGTAAGAGCATGGCTCTGATCCTTGTGTTTCTGAATACAAGGGCTAATTAAGATAATAGCTGACAGAGTATCGATGATGTAGGAAAAGGGCGACTGCAGCTTCTCCCCAGGCATTGCGGGAGCAGCGGCAGGGCTATGGGTGCTTCTGCCTCCCACTGTGAAGAGCAGGGCAGCTACAAAAGCCCTAACACTTGTGTGTGTTTTTGCTCCCTCTTAAGAATGATATTCAGGTTTCCACAGTATAGTTAGATACTTTTTAGTCATGCCATTCTTAAATTGACAAGCTGTGTTGATTTTTTTAAAAAATGGGTCATTTACCCATATTTTATTTATAATAATATGATTTTTGCAACATATTAACTTTATATTTGAGATCTTCTGGATTACCTCCACCCTATTCTGACATACATGTATGCATATCCACCCTTCCCCTTTTCTTTTGTATTGCTTCTCTCAGGACTTAACTGCCTATGTGATTTGTTTAGTATTTTTATTTTAGGACAGACTATTCAATATGAAGCAGTCACTGGGGCTTGAGCTTTGCCGACATGAATGAAAAGCAAGCTGTGAACAGCTATTCCTTTTCCCAGCCACTGCGCCACCTCTACAGCACTGCTGTCAAGAGCCGATGGCATGACTCGACTTGAACACGCTCCAGGCAATATCAGCCCGGTTAAAAACATGAGGCTGGGTCAGGTTAGGAGTCCTT